TGAATTCTCTTGTAGATATTTTTAAATAATCAAATAGATTTTTATTATCTCCATTGCCTATGAAAATAGAGAGGCATACATTAGTTAAAAAGACTTCAACCAGATCACAGCCTAAAAAATCCTGGAAATACAATTGGAATATTAATTTTAAACTTGACAATCATTTTCCTTCTTTTGTTTGAGAGAAGAGAGATATGAGAAAAGACTCTGGATGAGGTAGAAGCATAAAGACTTTAGATAGAGCATGTATATGAAAAGAATGAAGCCTTCAAAGCTTTCCTGGACAGTCTAACACATTCTCCTCCAGGGGCCTATGGCTGCCCACCTGAGAATCACTGTTGAGGTAAAATGTGGCTACCTCTGGGAGCCTGTCACAGCTCTCAGGTACATTGCAATGGAAAAAAGCCTTCCTTATACTGAGTGAGCAGAACAACTAAAGCTTTGAACATCTATGTCAAAGACAAGGCTATTTTTAGTAGTTTCTTCCTCTTGACTGCTTGTCATGTTTCAGGCCATTTTTGAAGTTTCTTGTGCTTTGTGAATATTTGTACAAGAGGTAAAGTGATAATGTGAGAAAGTTCAAGGTATGAGAGAAGAGTACATGATTTGGAGAGAATTTAGATCTATATTATGCAGAGTCATGAACAGGTAATGAATGAGTTCATTCGGAAGTACAGAAGGATTGGCCTCCACAGATCCCCATGAGGGCTTCCTCTCATCTGCACATGGACTCTAGACCCATTAAGCAATTTAAAAATAGATATGTCTCTGAAAGGTCAGACACAGAAATGTTCAAATTCTGCATGATACTATATATTTGTGGAAATGCATTACCATCTATATATAAGTGGTATTTGTAAAGAATTGTGTAGATATTTGTTAGCCTGAAGAGCAAAAAACCCCCAAAAGATAAGACTGACATTGATCACTCTTAATTACAAGGGAATAATGCATAATCAGATAATAAAGAACATACCTAAAGATTGTTGCTTTTCATGAGATCCTCATAGACTTGAAATAATAAGTAAAATATACCCATATCTAAGTTAGCTGAAATTCAATAGTTTTCTTCCAAATAAGCTTTCCTTTGCATTTAGGAGACATCCATAGTGAAGGACAGAATATAT